TGCTATAAATATTCCTCCACCAAAGATCCATTTTGCACCAAATTTCTCTGCTAAATTTCCTATAAACAATACAATTACATATAGAATTCATCTGTAAATTTTTGTTACCTCCAATCCTAGAAAAGTTCTCTGATAAAAAAAAATAAGAAGAAAATATTTATAATTTGACTTACACTTGAGTAGTAAGATAACCATAGAAAAATGCTCCTAGAATAATTCCTGCTTTAGATGGATCCCAGTCAAATTCATATTTCTATCAAATTAATGTCAATGATAATAGATACAAGGAAAGAGGTAACAGAACACTTACTGGTGCAAATTTTATTGAATTTTTTTCCACCGTTGGACATGCTTGAATGGATTGATTTAATGCACTTTGTGGTGCTACCTAAAAGAAATATTTTATAAAATTATATATCTTAAATAATCAATTTACTGACCATAGCAACAATAGCTACAGATAAATTAACTCGCATTGCATATAAACAAAAAAAACCAAAGAAAGCCCATATAGCAATTGTACAACGTGCAGATAAATTTGAACATAAAAATAAACCTGATGAAGATGGTTCAACTTGATATTCTTCTAATAAAGATTTGACTTCTTTTGCCTTGTTATTGATTGTACTGTTTACGAGTTCTGAATCTTCAGATGCATGTGCTATATTATGATAATGTTGTTCCTCGGAAGATGAAATGTCAATTGTTTGTTTATTCATCATCTTTGGTTCTATTCGAGCAATTGACACTAGCCTGTTCCGAACACATTCAACATGAAATTTGATACATTAACTATAAAAAACAAAAAAGAAAAGATAAAGTTTTAGCGATAACATGAAGCAGCAACGAAATAGTAAAAGAAAGGAGAGACGTAACTCAATCTTTGTTACGTTATCAGATGTGTGCATATGTATGTTTGTTTTTAAACAATTATTTAGTCAGTATGCAAGATATTCGTTATTTCAAACAAGATATATTGATATAGGCTTTTAATTTTTAGTAGCATATTATTAGCATAATGAAGGTATAAAAATTCCTACATGAATTTATTAGATAAATCTTCGATCGAAAATACAAAATATCGAAAAAATTCTGATGGAAAGACGGATTTGAAAAGATTTTATTATTGCACAATCAATATTAGCTTGCTGATTAGCGATGTGTATCTCAAGCGAAGACACACTCACACCTTCCCTTTGTCAAGATTTGTCCGGGTTAATCGATCCTTCCATTTTCCTGAACATCCAGTAGGAGCTTATCAGATTCAAAGTTTTCGGACTTGCTAAACAGACAGCTCTTAGACCCAGACCTCATTGAGTCCCGAACCAACCCGATGAACTGTAACATCCAATATAAAAAAAAAAAAACTTTCAGAAAAGTCGGCTTGGTCATATATACTGCTGCTTTTTTAATAAATAACAGTTTGTTAAATACATATAGCAAAAATAGAGATGAAGACTCACATATCATATACTACAAATGACACTCGAAAATTCTATATAAATGTTTCACATAATAACTATCTCTACATGTAACATATTCTTGAATTATTTCAACAGCATATTTATATTCAACTAATTTATTCAGTGTATTTCCTATTCTGTCGTTATGACTAACTGGGGAAACATTTTCAATTGATCAATCGCTTTCTCAGCGAAGCTTAATCAGTTATGGATTATGGACCATGGTGATTCTTCATATGACTATATTAAATTTCTTTAGGTCTTAACATGGTAGTTTTCTAGACAAACAAACTTTTCGCCAAAAAATGATTTTTGGTGTGTTCAGATTACAGAATATATAAAATTGCCTCTACAACAGTAGGTATTCTATTTCGAATCATTTCTTTTCAGAAAATATAATCATTTTAATCCATACATCACATAGATCGACGTTTTCACTGTGAAAATCTTCAAGATGTTATTATTTTACTTAAAACTCATTTTTGAAAAATAGGAAGAATTATTATCCTATTGACAACTCGATATGCTCTGTAGTCTAAGTAGATCCAAACCATTTTTCATCAAAATGTTAGTTAGGCTGAAAAATCGCTTCTTTCGAAAACTAGCAACGGCAAGACCTAAGAGGATTTCTTATGGTCATATTCTGAATCAATGTCGTCGATAACCAACAACTCAGTAACGTCTTTGAGACAACGATCGATTAATTAACAAGGTTTCCTTGTTAGTCGGTACGTTGTTCGGCATGCTTCCAATAGATACTGTATCCAAACCCTGTTATCATCGGCCATGAAACGATTCTGGACAAGTCACTAGGGGCTGGATTGGTGCATAAGAAAAACTCTCACAGAGGTAGTAAAAAATTTTTTAAATCTTAGTAACACCATTGAATAATAGTGAATATTTTTCAATTATTGGGGAGGGATACATCCCTCATTCTCTACAACGCTTTCATGGCGTACGGTTGTGACATAACCCTGCTCTCGTGACTAGTATATTGTTAGGCAGTATTTACAGGATGCTCAAGCATCTCTATACAGCCAGGTAACAAAAAGACAGGAGCGTTCTTCCTTCTTCGTCATTTTCTATTTAAAAGTGCTCTTCAACGCAAACAGCTTTGAAATTTTGCCGCCACTTGTACAATAAGAAAGGAAAATATTCATAGTGACTGTCTGTACATCTAGAACTGTTTGACCTCTCATTATTTGTGTCTAGATTTATTCAGTTATAACGCACCTTCTTTATCTGGACATCAATCATAGATGATTCCTAGCAACCTATTGTAGTTTTGTTTTTGCACTCATCTTTTTTAGCTTCTACTTTCCTTATATAGTCAAGTTGTACCCATATTATTTAATATATACATCGATATATACGCAAAAAGAGGTCATATTCGTTGACAAGTTCAATATACTGTCCTAAGGAAATTTGAAAAGCATGTGAGATATCATCGACTTATGATATATTTGTTACAGATCATCAAGAAAATAGTAGAATTACAAATCAATAAATTAGATTACATTACGAGACAGTGGTAATAAAAAGTGAATATCATCGAAGAAATATGAATGTTTCTCTTGCTTAATATTAATCATGGAAAATATATAACAAAAATACTTTTCAAGATCATTAGGAAACACAACAGTTGGATCACTGTTGCATTTTAATATTTTCGATTGATTGAGATCTACAGATTTAATTGTTAAGCTTTATAGATCACAA